AGATTAAACAAAGAAATAAGAATACATTAACAGGATGAAATCAACTCGATGTTAACACTTTGTTTGGATGGTTGGTACGTATTGTTTCATAATGTATTGTATTGTTTTAAGGGTTTGATATACCGTTTAACTTTGTCATTTAGAGCTGATATACTGCCCGTCGAGGTTGTTAGAGTTTTGCCCTAATTTTCTTATCATATTTGAATTTTACTTTTCTCTTAAAGAAAAGTCAAAGCATAATCATAATTGTTTCTAGTTTTCCTTAAAGGAAAATATAATTAGTTGCCTCTTTTATCCTTTCACTTTCGATATTCTCCAACTCATAAATCCTTCACAAGTACATCCATTCTTCTCAAAAACAATTTGATAGGAGTTTCACACAACACCTCTTAATTTGTGGATTCATCTATTACGGTTAGAGATGTCAAATGAATTGGTTGAACTGAATTTGGATAACATCATATCACACTAACACCTCTTAAATGGAATTATAAGAATTATTACACATTGTGGATAATTGCTTTGCCATAGGAATACCACTACGTCAAGGTTGTCATAATTTAAGCAATTTATTTATTCATACTCATTAAGTATTAGGGATAATTTCACAGACTTCCCTAAGATTTATCTTCGTAATACTCATCTCTCTTGTGATATATAATAGGAAAAACTACATAAATGAGTCATAAAATCCAAAATAATTACAAGTTTATACCCAAATCCAAAGTAATTCTTGAAATACTCATTCTCTCATAAATAATTACAGCTCATACCCCTCATTCATTAAGGGCGTATAATTTTCGCTTAACTGATATTAATAAGGTTTCTTGTTCAGATATTACTCATTAGTCAATTATACTATATATATATATATACTAATTTAGTATCAATTAAGCAAAATTATCAATCTTAATGATACCATTACAGTATATGATATTGAATATCAGTTAAGCAAAATTATCAGCCTTAATGATATCAATACAGTATATGATACTGATTTAGTATCAATTAAGCGAAATTAGTTTGGGAGTATATAGTGTAATTATTTAGTGGGTATGAATGTAAAGGGATATATATATTTGTAATTATTTTGCTTTTATGAGGTATTTGTTTAGTTTCCTTACACTTACCTCTCTTATTTTGATTTTTTATAACAATTCATTTAACTTATTAATTATTAATGTAAAAAATTATGATACGACTAATTTACCCTTTTTAATATATCCTATTTTGGAAAAAGTTTTTTTTTTTTAAAAAAAATTGTTATAAAATAAATATTTTCATCTTCCATTAACCCATTCTGCTAAAGTTGTTTTAGAGTTGATGCCACCGATTTGTTTGTCTAATTTTATTGAAAATGAAGAATTTTATAGGGATAAAGCACAAGTGCCTCTAGATTATGATTGAAATTTCAGAGACACATCTAAACTTTTATTGAAAATGAAGAATATTATAGGGATAAACACATAAGTGACCGTAGACTATGATTGAAATTCCAGAGCATCTAAATTCTAAACTTAACTAGGGTCCTATTACCCCCCTGAATTCATTTTTTTGTATTTTTGTGTACCTTTTGTACTGACGTGGCATCTTGAACCGCCCGAATTGGTTGTGTTTGTACACACGCGCCTATCACGTGTGTAAATAGTTTTTAATTTTTTTTAAAAAAAATATTTATTTTTTATTTTTTAGAAAATATATTCTCATTTTATTTATCTTGTATTTAAATTAAGTTAATACACATATTTTTTTTGTCTTTGTTGTAAAATAAGAGCAAAATATAATAATACTAAACAAGTAAGGAAGACAAATTGTGATGAGAAGTATAGAGTGGAGAATATTATTTAAAACTCTTCAAGTGTGTTCTCACAAGGGTGAAAAGACTACCCTTTTATAGGATTTAGAAAACACATGTTTTCATCCTTTAACCAAATACGTTAGTACAACTATAATAAATACAATAAATACATACATTACATTAGAGATGAAGTAAGAGAAACATCCACACAATTAAGTGGATTTGTAACAGTCTTGTATTTAAACTGTTTTTTTTTTTACCTTCATTAATTGTTTTTTCTCTTTTATTTCGCTATTGATTTTATTTACTCTTTTTATTTTCTTTGTCTTTCCTTTCGATTTGATTTCAAATTTAATTCCAAATGTCTTATATTTAGAATAAGTTAATTTCGAACTGATATCAAAATAAGTGAAGAAAATCAAATAAAACATAAAAAAAGTAAAACGTTAAAATTAAAGGACACTTTTTAATTACTTTTTTAAAATACACATAATTTTTTTAAAATAATTAAAAGTGAAAAGATAAGAAATTAATGAAAGAAAAATTAAAAATTAAAAGTTTCAAGTGAGAAAAAAATGAAAATAAATATTTTACAAAGAAAAAAATGAAAATAATTAATATATGTAAGTTTTAATATCAACAAATATGTGTACTAACTAATTATAAAGTTACCAATTAAAAAATTGCATGTGTCTAATTTGTTCATTAACTATTTGCCTTCAAAAGAGTGTGCACACTCTCTCTACCACGTCAATATTTATGGTGTACTTATTTCATTCTATTAGTTTAAGGGGTAAATTTAGATGTGTCTCTAAAATTTCGATCATAATCTAGGGGTACTTGTGTCTTATCCCAATTTTAAATGAAATGTTGGAACTTAAAAAAGGAGTAACTCAATTTTCTTATCAAGTGGAATGCAAACAATTTTTTTTTTTGTTAAGAAAGGATACTTATATTAATTATATATAATACTTGTCAATACAAAACCAGGTGGCTACAATAGGAGCTATCTCCAAGACTAGTGCCCTTAGGCATAACATTAATATTACTACTACTACTAGATACAAGGGGATTAGTAGTTATCCCCGCAAAGCTACTAGATACTATTATAAGTGATTTTACCATGAATTACATAAAATTATAAATTCCTTTAATTTAAACAAAAGGGCTTCAATGGAAGATTGAAATACATCGATTATCAAGGAATCAAAAAATTGTATATTAGAAAGGGAATTTTTTTTTAGATTATAATTCTTTATATTAATAATTAAGAAGTGAAATGAATCGTTATCAAAAGCTTAAAATAAAGGAGACAAGTGTAATATCGTAAACAACAAGAAAAGTGAATGCTATTGAGTCAAATCATCTTTGAAATTATTCCTAAGTATTATATTGAAACTTCATTTATTTAACTAACTAATGTGAATCCTCCAATTCACGTATTAATTGAGTAATTGACCATAATTTGTTAAAAGACTAATACGATAGATAGGTAGAATGAAGATAATACTAAATAGTGTCACATCAACTTTCAGAGTTGATTTAATTAATGGAAAAGGGTTAAAATTGCTCCTGAACTATGCGAAATAGACCACTTATACCCTCCATTACATTTTGGGATCAAAAATACCCCCGCAGTTATCCCAAGAGACCACAAATACCCTCAAGAGTTAACACCCAAATTTTTTAGTGACGTGGCAAGCCACATGGGACTAATCCCTCCACCTAAGCATTGCCAACTAAGATTCACTACAAAAGAACTTGACTTTTAGTGGCGACAAAGTCGCCACAAAATCCCAAAATATTGCCACTAAAGGTTATGAGTGATTTTTTGTGGCGACTAAGGCTCCAACAACCATTCGCTAGTAAAACCTATTTTTTCAACAAAAAAAATATGATAATTAATTTGTGATTGAGACCTAATTTTCTAAAATAAATAACTTGCAATATCCATATTAAAAACATCCAGTATTATTACGAAAAATAATCAAAATTACTTCTCGATTCAAATCTCCTACTATATATAGATAATGCATCATTGTACATTTTATACATTTACATATGACATAAAAATAAAACATATAGGGGTCGTTTGGTACAAAAATGAGTAATGCAGGGATTAGTAACGCAGGGATTAATAATGCAGGGATTAGTAATGAAGGGATTAGCAATGTAGGGATTATTTTTTATCCAGTGTTTGGTTTATTGCTTATTCAAATCTTGTGTTTGGCTTAGAACTCTTAAAAAAGAACTTTTTTCCAATTTTACCCTTGAATTATTATGTTATCTATTTCATGTAATTACCATATTTATTACGTTTAAAACTTGAATACGAAGTGCTTAACAAATTTAATTCACTTGAGGAAGTCTCAAGTCATAAACGAGAAGACGTTATTTTAAGTACCCCGACCAAGGCATACCTCCCTCCTCTCTTAAGAAAACAAGAAAATATAAAATAAAACTAAAGTTCAAGTAGTGTGGACAGCAGCAGAAGTTTCTAATGTTAAAAGAAATATAGTTTGATCACAGCTTCATATAAAGTTAGTAAAATTAAGCAACATGAGCAAGCCACCTGAAGCTTTCCTGCTACATTGTCTCTATCCCAAATATTGAACATTGTAAAACTTCAAACATTTTCTTTGCCAATCTATCATAGACAATGCTGCATAATCCAAAGACGAACCCCTTTATTGCATGTTTAAGGTTCTTTCAACTGTTTCAAGCGAATCCAAAGTCTATTTTTGGCTGCTGCCAGTTTTGTCCGAAAGGAATGTATGAACCTACCCCAACTCCTCATTTAAGTTTAAAGTATGAGCTTGAGCAGGAGTTCCTGTCTCATCATCGTACATACTGATATCCTGATTTATAAATGATGCATGTAGGACTTCCGCGACTTCAATAAAGATATAGAGCGATATGGAAATTAAATAACCACACAAAATAAGTGCAATGAGCAAATACAGAAGGCCAGACAACTCAGTCTCACTTATATCAGCTTGACTTTGAAGTGAAGCACAACAAAGGAAAAGAAGCAAAAGAAAGAATATACATATCGAAAATCCATTCATTTCACATTTCAGTATATACTGAGAAAAGGAGAAGCGAGAATCATGTACATCAATTGACAAAAGCAAGCCAAATAAACACATTTACATACATCATTTGAGTTTATCACAAGTGACACCACATTCAAGTTTTTCCATAGATTCTAGTTACACAAAAGCTATTGTCCTCGTGTCCGTCTTACGCCAATCATTTTCAATATAGGACATAATCTGAGGTATCAGAAAGTGACACTACACTCAAATATTTAAAGGTCTTCAATTAAGCAAAACTAGCAAAATGAACTTTCCACTTATCTTGCAGTCTACCATACTTTAAAGTTTATCATTGATGATCATAAACATCATAGTTTGACGCTCAAGTTCACCCATGCGTATAAATAATTCCATCTTTTTGACGTCATCACAAAGAACCATTGTTGCTTTGATGCGTTGCTCTGTGGAGTACAAGTCAAATATAGGGGATTCAATGATGGAATAAATTTGATCACGAAGATCAGATTGGTCATGATTTCCAATCTTGTCAATCAAGGCACCCATTCGTTTGTCTTGACTGTCAGTAAAGTTTTTTATAACCTCAACCATACCCTTAAGAAATATCTCAGAATCATTCTCCGGGATCTTTTTTCTTTTCTTGCATTTCTCCTTTTCATTGACATTAGACGACCTTTTGGTATACTCACCTTGTTTATTGGTTTGTTGAAATCCAGCTTCTTCAGGTTCAAATGCTCCAGCATTTTCATTTTGAGATGCTTCAGGAAATGTAGCAGCTCCAGTAGCATTTCCAGCTTCTCCCGTAGTCACATTAGGTCTATGACTAGAACCAGCTTCTTCATCGCCATCAAGATCAATAGGAAATTCCAAACTCATATCGTTAAACAGTACTGAGGATTGACTCCTTTGAATTTCCTCAACAACATCTAATGGGCCTTCTGCAAACTCCCCTGTTGCTCTATCCTTGCCAAAGATTTCCTCCCAATCCACAAACATCGGCCATTTTTTCTTATTCATGTTTTTGGCATTTGGATCAACCTAGAAAATAATCACAAAATAAAACAAAGTGATATAATATTACTCAGTTAATAACTCTTTCAGAGAACACATATATAAATACATAACTATAATCATGAACAACTAAAAAGCTCTCTAAGTTGTGCAATCGGTATCTTTGAAATCTAAATTTATTGGACACAACTTTTCAGTATTCAAGCTAAAAGACTTATTAATGCTCACTGTAGCAGCTATGTTTGGGTTGACACTAATTCATATCGAGAAAGGCTTTGGTGGCCCGGGACAGGGTGTGCACTCCCAAAGCAGTAGTTGACTTGAACCTTACCAACATTCAACTCTGGAACAAGACAAATATAGACAAGATTGGTGGGTAGTTATCCCCTATCAATGTTTATAGTTGAGGGCAAATCGAGGATTACCCGCAACTTTTGTCCATAAATTTAGAACACAAGGAGCGTAAAGTCTGAAACAAGATCATTCATTTGTTTATCCGTGAGAACACGAGGCTAGTATGATGGATATTATTGAGGTGGATGCAGAAGCACGCTTACTTTTCTAGTGATAGTCGTGGACAGTCCACATGAAACATATTCAACAAATTCACTCCCTAGTGAAGAAGTGCAGATCTAAACAATTAAAAGCATCAGGCAGATAGTGTAAAAAATTATAATAACTTTAATAAAGTATTAATTACCTTTAGGAAGTCATCCCAAAATTTAGGATCATCAACTATTATAGCTCCATCACCGTATTGAAATCCCAATCCACTTCGACTCTTTAGCATAGCTATACTTGCATAACATCTCTTCCAATATCTTATTCTAGATAAGACATGTGGTTCACCTTTCAATCCGCTGTTAGGATGATGTTCACATAAATAACATTCTAATTCCTTTAGGTATCCTGGCTTGAAGGTTCCATTATCACCTCTCCAACCATTAACACATAACTCTTTTAATCCATCTATAAGAGTTTGTTCTTCTGCTGCAGTCCATGTCCTTCTAGTCGAAGGAGTTGAATTTCTTGATCTTTTTGATGCGTGGGAAGATGTTTGACTGCTCATTTTGCCTTTATATTCTTGTGGAATAGATTATAAAAATAAATAGGAAGAAAATTATAATGATAATAACAATAATGCACACATTAAATAGTTGAACAAATCTATAACCTTGTCATGAACTTAAGAACTGATTATAGAAACACTTTATATAAAAAAAAAATGTAGGAGAAACTGATATATTCAGGAAGTGGTTGGCTCTCCAGATTAGTAGCTTAAAAGATATTGCATTCAACAGGTGGTCGTGCAAACATTCACAAGTGGCATTATGTCGAGAAACTGACTAGCTTCATGTGGATACATTGTCTACAATACATAGGTAAATTCCTTTCTCTATATCCTTTTATGTAGACATTATCAATTTGTTCCTTTCTCTAATGACCATCTTCATGGTTGCTGGAAATCAAATACAGGAAGAGCAATACTAATTCCTTTCTCTCTATATGCATACTTATCATTTAGTTTTCTTTTCCTCTATCAACTTTCAAAAATTATAATCTGCACTAGTGTTGCAGGGTTCTTTTAGTTTTAGGAGATTGGAGTTGTAAAATAAAGTCAAATTTTACTAGTAGAGGAAGTGATGAAGAGTAATAATTATAACATATTAAGAAAACCACAAATTTCATAATAACATATGCCAAAAGTTACAAAAAGGATTCAAGACTCCCAATTAACTTGTATAAGATCACTAGATCACTGAAACAGAGGAGAGATTCTAACTTTTGATATAAGGCTGACCTTAAAAGCCCAAGTTAGCTAAATTCATCGCAAAAAAAAAAACTTAACATGTCATCACTGATTAGATCTTGCATTCCACATTGATTGAGCCAACTCATCCCTCCAAGTGGTCCACTCTTCAGACGATTCAACAACATCAATATGTTCAGGTTGATTCTCAACGTGTTCTTCCATATCCATGTCTAAAGGATCCACATCCATCTCTCTACGGATATAGTTGTGAATCAAACAACAAGCACTTATAATTCTGTTATGAACTTTAACAGAGTACCACGAAGAGCTCCTAAGAATTCCCCAACGTCCTTTCAAGAGACCAAACGCCCTTTCGATAACATTACGAGCCCTAGCATGCTTCATATTAAAAAGTTCTTCTCGACATCGAGGTGGGGGGTTGTCACCTTGCCAATCCCTTAACCAATATTTATACCCTCGGTAAGGTGAAAGAAAACCTTTTCCATTTGTATATCCTCCATCACATAAATAATAATTACCTATAATATAAACATAAAATTTAGTTACCTTTCTATTCTTTTCATGTACAGTTACCTTCTCAAAAAAATAAATACATCATTCTTTTTGTGTTCTTATATGCATATATACATGGCATACCCTCAGGAATTTTTAAACCATTGCGTCGCACTACAGCGTCTCGTAATACACGACCATCAGCAGTTGATCTTTCCCAACCAGGTAACACATAAGTAAAATTGAGATTTCTATCACAAACTCCCAATACATTAGTAGCTATATCTCCCTTCCTTGTCCTGTATCTTGGTTTGTACTCAGATGGAACTCTAATGTGAATGTAAGTACCATCTAGTGCACCTAAACAACCCTATAAAAAATATAGAGTTATCTCGCACTAAAACGAAGTCTTAGTAAAATTACCTTATTTAGTCATATACAAATGCTAAAATTAAAAATCGCACCTACCTTAAACCATTTCCATCGATCTTCAATCTCATCTTCAAGGATCGGTTTAGGATTGACAAGGAACAATGAAGTTAGTTTGAGTATAGCTCTCAAGCATTCATTAAAAGCTTGACTTACACTCCATCCAGATCTAATATAATCGACCTTGATAGATCTATTCTTCTCGTGATGAGCCAAGATGTTTAAGAAAATTGCTAGCTTTTCACTACTTGACATATATTTACCATCAGTCAAACCTCCGACATCCTTAGTTAATAGAACTAAATTATGAAAGGCATTTCTATCCATTCTTAACTTGTCGATACATACAATGTCACTATCATTTATGATACAATTTAAGTGAGAAATAACTTTTGGTATTCGGACACTCATACGGTACCTAATCTCATGCACATTTCTGTATTGCCTTCTTAGTGAATGACCATGAATAGCCATAAAAAGGCAAATAAGGACTACAAGAAATTGTTGGCACATTATCTCCTCAAGAATAATATAATCAGTACTCGAAAGATGTTGAAGATCCATAATAACACCTAAGTTTTTCATAAAAATTAGACAAAATCAATACACACAATATGAACAGAAATCTATAAATTTTAAGCATAGATACTAATAGTGACGATGTTGTTTAGAAACTTTCAACCCACAAAATAATAATTAATTTGCAAGCACATTTCAATTCACCTATTTACAACCATTTGGGAACAAGAACGAAAGAAAAGAAGAAAAGAAAAAAGTTCAAACCCGTATAAACCCTACATGGCTAATAGTGACGATGTTGTTCAGAAATTAACCCTACACGCTACGCCTTCTCCATAGCCAAAGAAGAGAAAAGACCGCGAGAGAAAAAGGAAAGGCGCCAAAAAGCAGAATAGCGTGAATTCTTTACCAATTCTGAAGTATGTATATAGAAATTGAGGGGCAATTCAGTCATTTCGTTTCCTTGTCCAAGTATTAGTAAACCTGGGATTAGTAATCCCTAGATATCCTTGGTATTAGATAAGACCACATATGATGTATTAAGTTATCCATGTATTAGGTATGTTTGAGTTGAATTGTGTAACCAAACATTGTATTAGGGGGATTAAATTTTAATCCAAGGACTATTTTAATTAATACATCCTACCAAACGGCTCCATAGTGTCTTAAAACTCCTACTTAATCGATATCATATTTGGTTTTTTAAAAACAATGAAGAAAAAAACACAAAATTAGAATTTAATGTTAAAAACTTTTAGTGACGATTTTCTAGGCTTTTGTGGCGACTGTTGTTGCCGCTAAAAGTCTAGTTCTTTTGTAGTGAATCCTAATTGTCAATGCTTAGGTGGAAGGATTAGTCCGACGTGGCTTGCCACGTCAACAAAAATTTGGGGTGTTAACTCTTGAGGGTATTTGTGGTCTCTTAGGATAACAACAGGGGCATTTTTGATCCCAAAATGTAACGAAGGGTATAAATGGTCTATTTTATATAGTTCGGGGACAATTTTGACCCTTTTCCGTTTAATTAATCACAACTACAAGGACTTCAATTCTCATTTTTAAAACATTAATTAGCTCAAGGAATATACTATCACCACCACTTCCGTTGCCTAGCTAAAAACTACTCAAACCATTAAAATCAAATTTAGTAGACGTTTGGATATGTAATTTAATTCATCTTGCAATTTGAAATTATGAGATGAATTAATGTTTATGTGATTTTATGTCATGGTTTTAAATCATGAGATAAAATTTTAAATTTTCTAAAAAGCCTGATTTTTGAAAATTTTATATTATGATTTCACATTTTTCAAAACAAATATTGACCCACAAATTTATATTTCATATTAAAAAACCTACCATTTTATATCTATATATATTTGTGATAATACTAAAGGACTACTGACTCATTCAAGGTGTCTTAAACCTATTAAAGACATCTAAAATCACTGAGCTATAACAACTTATTATGTCAAGGATGTCCAAAATATGTTATTTAATCACTTTGTATATCATCTTACTTGTATATACAATATTTTTTCCAACGAAGGCATGTGCCTCCGCCCCTGTTGACCAATAAACGACTCAATAAATATATTACACTACAACTCATTTTTAATTTTACCTTTTTATTTAACTAAAGTACGATAAAAATGTTGTATTTTTTTATATAACTTTATAATAATATATTATACTTTTGTTATAGCTTTTTCTTATTTGGTATAAAGATTGTATGAAAAATTAAAACAATTTTGATAAGTTTTCATAGCTTGTGAGGTTTTTATGTTTATGAAATAAAAAGTACAATCTAAAAATCCAAATCCAAATCCAAATAAAACTACAATCAATTCGTCTCACGTGGCTAAACAGAAATCCGTATATATTATGGCACATTAAAGTCTTTAATGTGTGCATTCGGTTTTTCGGTTTGGTTTTGCACTATTCGGTTTGGATTTTTCGGTTTTTGGTTTTGTAAAAGTGTAATCCAATCCGATCCAAAATAAATTTGGTTTGATTTGGTTTTCCCCTATTCGGTTCGGCTTTTTTCGGTTTGGTTATTCGGTTATGTCAATAATTAATAACATAACCAAAGTAATAATATTTAATCCCTTAAATATACTTTCTATTATAAATCATAAGTAAAACTTAAAACACAATACTTATAAGTATACCTATTATAGATGTAATTCAAACATAAAATATAAATGTAATCATCATGAAAGGCAATAACCAAAAAGGGACAAAAATGGTTAACTCCAACTTAATTCTAAACCTAAACATTATATATATATAATTCGTTTTTTTTTTTGTTTTTTTTTTTTAAAACCCAAAATCAAACCAAAAAACCAAATAAAGTAATTTATTAATCTAAAATTAATCCGAAAAACCAAAAAACCAATCCAAATAAAAATTCGATTTGATTTGATTTAGTTATTCGGTTTAATTCGAATAGTGCACACCCCTAATTAAAGTCAAGATAGACAACTATGGTGAAAAAATTATTATGTCTCTAAAGTACTTGCACTATTCTTTGACATAAAAATTTCATATGAAAGCTACAAAGCACACAAATTTGTCCTTTTTCTTTGAATTTGCATTCTGATGTTGACTCATAAAGTGAATGTATGCACCTTTTATATAATTATCAAGCATCATGTGTTAATTATCCACTCAAATCCGTCTTATCTTTTTTTTGAACTATATAATAAATAAAGTTTTTACTAAAGATAGTGTAAATGAAATGACGATACAAACAATTAGTTTTTTTTTTTTTTGGAACCCCAGGATAACTCGCAGTTGCTACAACCTCTACCACACCCTCTGCCTTTTTGGTGAGCACTGCCTGCAAACCACACAGGGGATGTAAATCGCACTAGGCAAGCCCTATGCGGCAGGCTCGACTCAGAAAGCATTGAGGGGGGATCGATCCCGGGTCATCCATGTGGATAACCACCCGAAGGACACAATTAGTTATTGATACATAAATTATTCACATATTACTCTCGAGTCTTGTGTAAAACCCTGACATAAGGTTTTAAGACGTTAAAGTGCGTAACGATGGTTAAAAACAGGAGAAAAAAAAATACTTCTACAAGTACTATTTAAGAAAAAATATTGATTTTTGCGATATCTTTTTTATTTATTATAGTACCATTTATAGCAACACATAACAATACTATGATCAATCTGGCACTATATATATAAAAGTGAATTATATATGCATGCAATATAATTGTATTATAAATATTTTAAAGTATATTATGATTGTTTGATAAGAAATTGACACAATATATTATAAGTGTATTAAAATATATGATAAATGTATTATCCGTGAATAAAACTTATATTATATTTATTTTATAATTAAATTGTTCTCTATAATATATATTAAAACAGTATTATAATTTCAAAAGAACACTACTAACTCACAATAGTCTAATTAATTACAATTTGATGTTACTCTCTTTGGGTGACTCCTAGTCAAGAAAGACATCTATGAATAGAAAAATGTGGTTAGTTTTTTTTGTCAAAGTCTCTACACGAGTCTTGACGTAGAAATTTCAAATGAAAAGGATACATGAACATCCACATAAATGTATATATATATTTTCCCTTTGAATTTTCAATTTGATGTTTACTCATTAAGTGAACGTCTTAAATGGGCACTGATATACACACTCATTAAAATCTCATAAGCCGAATTTGAAAACAGTAAAGTGTACATAACTTTAACCCTACTTTATAAGGATAGAGAGAATATTGTTTTCGATAGACACTTGGCTCAAGTAAAAGAAAAATTATATTCCAGATTAAGTGAATTATTGAAACTTTTTCATAGTTTTAAATAAGTGATTTTTCAAAGTTCAAGAGAATTATTGGAACCCTTTTCATATTAATCCTTCTTTTTAATGAAGTTCTTAACTACTCTAGGAGAATAGTTTGAAAATAATCAAAAGGTAATAGTGGAAAGTGTACATTAGTTTATGTCCTTAAATATTTTGCTTAAAGGGTATGTCATACTCCAACTATTCACTTAATATGTGCTAGAGGGAGTATTAAATTTGAAGAGCGGAGTGTCAAAAACAAGCATAAATCAATCCCCCTTCTTGAGTTTCATACTTGTACTAGTTGGAGTTTGAGTTTCATACCTAAACTATTACTCATTAGTTTGAGAAACACACATAAGTGGTATGTGTAAACTAAAGTATTATCCCAATTAAATAAACTATTAGCATTAGTTAAAAGTTAAAGATTAAAGTATCATTATCCCAAAAACCGAAATTAATAAAATAAAATTTAAAATATTTTTCTTACCCCGCTCCACAACCTTCTCCCCCCCCGTACCACCCCCCCCCCCCAAACCATCCACTCCTTTTCAAAAAAATTAGATATTATTTTATTTTTTTTAAAAGAAAAATTCTACCCCATTCCTTCTAATACCCCTTTTCTAATAATTTTTTTTTTTTACATTTCTCTCATTTTGTATTAGATATATACATATATTTTGAGGAAAATATTTTTTTCTTGCATATCGAATATAACATAAAATGAAAATTTATTTTTTAAAAAATCTTGTGACAAGTAGAAAATACTTTTTTAAAAATATATGTATATATCTAACATAAAACGAGAAAAATGAAAAAAAAATAAAAATTGGGAGAGGTGGGGTAGGTATGTTTTAAAACATAGCTAAAAAAATTTGGAAGGAGATATGAAGTAAGATTTTTAAAAAAATAAAAATAAAAATTAGGTGGTAGAGTGAGGTAAGCAAAATATTGAATTTTTTTTTAAAAAATAAAATATTTTTCTTGGATAATGACACTTTAATCTTTAATTTTTAATTAATACTAATAATTTATTTAATTTTTGTCAAGGTAGAATGTTTTGCCTATATGAAGTGTCGTGTGATAATTCTTTAAAATAAAAGAGAAAGTATATTGCACACACCATCAAGAGAATGTAACAAAATAATTAAGAGATATCTTTCTTAAACTAATAAGTGATAATTTAAGAATGAAATTTACACTCTAAAAAATAAAGAAGATAATTTAAATGTGTTTCACTCCACTCAATTTAAAAAGAAATATTTAGTAGAAACTAGAGAGTACAATAACTTTTAGGACCATGCATTGCAATAATTGGAAAATAAAAATGTTTTTAGGTAATTGTAATATCCTTTTACACCAGTAACTTTTATTATTCCAATATTTATGTTTTCCATTCTCCTTTATGTTATTCTTATTCTCTATTATCATTGAATATTGGGAAAATAGCCAAATGATACCTCAATCTATTATCGAATTTTCAACTACACACTTATATTTCACGGGGGTCCTATTACCCTTCTGTGCTATTTTAAAGTGGAATTATTTCCTACCTGAAATGTCATTACCAGGCATGTGTATCTTTATGGTGAAATACACACACTTGACATGTGTATTTCACCATTTAATTATTATTTTTTTTTTTAAAAGTTCTCCTCCTTCCTCTTCCTTTCTTCCCAATCATTTTTTCAACCATAACTATTCTAAACACCATTTTTTACCTTAATAAATTTCTATATCTCTAATAATTTATAAAAACGAAAATTCAAGTCACATTTTCTCTTCCCCATTCTTTATTCTTTCTCTCTCTAAAATTTTCATGATTAATTTATAATTTGAGTTTTTGATTTTGATTCTTCATGGGTTTTAGGAGAACATGTAGGATCCTTCTTTAAAAATGTAGAAGAAATTGTTTTGTTTTAGTTTCTTTTAATAAGTTTGAAGATATTTTTTAAATATACAATTACTTCACTTTGATTTTATTACTCTTGAGTCCATGACTTAAAATAATAATAATTAATGAGTATGTTTTTAAAAAAAAAAAAATTTAATTTTTTAGATATGTTCTAAATAAGTCTATTGAAAAATTATTAGTCATAAAATGTATTAGTTGTTGATAATTTTTATACCAAACATCCATTGAAAAAGCTTCAACAATGATAATGGTGAAAAAAGTATAGTTGTATAGATAAATACAAGAAGAAAGAAAGAGAAATAAAAAAGAAAATTAGAAAAAACAGAAATTAAAAAAAAAAGGCAACTCACTCTCTCAAAGAGAGTAACATATTCTCTCTATGTAAACTCAGCACTTAAGGGATTATTTATTCTATTTTAAAGTAGTTCAGGAGATAATAAGATTCTCGCAAAAAATAAGTGTGTAGTTGAAAATCCGATACATTTTCTCTTCAATATTATTGTTGTCTACTTGTAAAAAGATGTAAAAAAAAAAATATTGTGTCTTCGTTAAGATATTGAAACAACACAACATTATTTTAATATAGTATGTCAACTTATCATATTTTTTAGCTAAATTTTATAATTCTAATTTATTTTTATTTTTTGTTGAATTTTTTATTTATTGATATGCTTACTTCATATGACTATCTTCTTTCCTTATAAAGGAAAAGTTAGAACAAATCGATTATGAAATGATAATTAATGCTTCACGTCTTAAAAGAAAAACTAGAAAACCCCTCCATTGTTAATCTTGGGATTGATATTAAAGGCACATAAGTAGAGTAATTAAAAGGAATTAAAGAATAAATAAGTAAAAATATCTTTTTTATTTATGATTTTTTAAGGGAAGGGTGAAGAGGAAATTGAATAAGTAATTATAAGATGGAGGGAGTACAATTTTTCTTAGGACAAGAAGTTTAACTTTGTGAAATAATAATTACTACGATTACTTGACTAGTCAATTTTTTTTCTTCTTCCTCTTTTTAACCTCTTCCTAGGAGCTTTTATCTTTATTACTTCCTTAATGACTCAAGCGCCTCACAATCTTAAAACTGAAAGTGAAAACGAATTACCATCAAAATAACTCCCTCTCGTGATTTAAGTGACCATTCAACTTCTCCAAACATCACCAACCAAACTAAAAACCAGAATACAACTTTCATATTCTCAAATGTGAAATGGAATACAACCAACTAAATCTAATTTTAACGAGTTCATCCAAATTTATAATTTGTGACACACAAAACATATATATTCCATCGAATTCAAACCTAAAAAATTTAAGGATTGAATCCGTTAAATTTAAATTTTGAATTCACCTGAGGCACGATATTGTGAGGCCATTCCAAGAAATTACAAATATTGACTAAAGCATGTTGTGGTTGTGATGAAAGTAGGAATTTTGTTTTTCCAATAGTCATAGTAGGTTGGCTACTAGGTCCCACATATAGGGCATTATATATATACACAAAACTATATTCTTCACTCACAGATTAACACTTCCCTTTTCTAATTTCAGTGGGAGACTAAAAGGTTTCTTTTCAATTTTGAGGTATTTCTTTGTAATTTGTTAAAATGTACTTTTCTTCTATAGTATATGATCTCCACTGCCTAATAGTAAAATATTTACTTGTTTTGGTTTAAGATATTTTAAAACATTTACTTTCCTTTTCATATTTAGAATCTACAATAACTATTCTCTTTTTAATTTAGGATCTATAAGAATAAAAACATATTTCTTTTAGTTACTTATAAATATATAGTTATATACTCTTCTATATTGATGCAATATACGAAATAATGCAATTAACTAATACAATGAATTTATCATTTGTTTCTCTTTGGTTTCCATGCGCCGTAGTTTGATTTCTCTAATTTTTCACATGACATAATTAACAAATTGACTCTCTACAATAATCAAATATGATTTGTTTCAAATATATTGTTTATTAATTCCCCCAACAAATGAAGTAAGCGGTCTAGGGAATAAAATCCACGACCTCGATTGTAATATCACTTATTAGGATTAAGCATTTAACTTCTTTCCGTAATATTATTGAATTGCAGATTCAGGATTGAAGAGGAAGGAGAACAAAAATGGGAGGTGGTGGTAATATGTCTGCTATGACAACTAAAAATGAACAGAAGAAAAATCCTCTTGAAAGAGTGCCATCTTCAAAGCCACCTTTTACACTTGGTGACGTCAAGAAGGCCATCCCTCCCCATTGCTTTGAACGATCTCTTATTCGTTCGTTCTCGTATCTTATTCAAGATCTCATACTTGTCTCCATCTTTTATTACATTGCCAACACTTACATTCACCTTCTTCCATCACCATTAACCTATTTGGCATGGACTACTTATTGGATTGCTCAAGGTTGTGTTTGCACCGGAATATGGGTCATTGGCCATGAATGTGGTCACCATGGCTTTAGTGATTACCAATGGGTAGATGACACTGTTGGTCTTATCCTCCACTCTGCACTTCTAACACCATACTTTGCATGGAAACATAGTCATCGTCGTCACCATGCAAACACAGGTTCCCTTGAGAATGATGAAGTCTACATACCAAGACTTAAATCAAAACTAAGATGGTACTACAAATACTTGAACAATCCACTAGGACGAGTATTCGTACTTGCCTTCACTCTAACTTTTGCTTGGCCTTTATACTTGATCTTCAATATCTCAGGCAAAAACTATGATCGTTTTGCATGTCATTATGATCCATATAGCCCAATATATTCTAATCGCGAAAGGCTACAAATCTACATTTCAGATGCAGGTGTGATTGCAGTTACTTATTTATTATATCGTGTTACTTTAACACAAGGTCTAGCTTGGGTTCTATGCATCTATGGGGTACCCCTCCTTATTGTGAATGGATTTATAGTGTTGATCACTCTTATGCACCACACTCACTCTTCATTGCCACATTATGATTCATCTGAGTGGGATTATCTAAGAGGAGCTCTAGCTACGGTAGATAGAGACTATGGTGTCTTAAATAAGGTGTTCCACAATGTTACAGATACACATGTTTTGCATCATATATTCTCATATATATCACATTACCATGCAATGGAGGCAACAAAAGCTATCAAACCATTGTTAGGAGAATACTATAAATTTGATGATACACCAATTTTAAAGGCAATGTGGAGGGATACAAAGGAGTGTATCTTTGTGGAGAAAGATAAAGATAAAGGAGTTTATTGGTACAAAAACAAGCTTTGAAAGTTCATCAAGAAATAATCATTTGGAATTGGTCAGGTGTTAAAACCTAAGTAGTATTTGTATTATGAATTGTGTCTTTTTCTTTGTATTGTACTAGTCAAATGTTTGTCAACGTGAAGAATAATATGTCTCACTCAATGTATCATCCTATGATGATTATAAATTTTAATATAAAAAATGTATTCATATTTCTTTTTTAGTTCTACCAAAATAAATGACATCTTTCTAAATCGAAATAACTAAATGAAATATTTTGAGTTGATTTTTCAGAAAATCACACAATTAATAGTAATTATTTTATTCATATTTTTTATTTTGTTACAAAAAAAAAAGTTGCTCAACTAAGATACATGTGTCATTTATTTCATTTTATACAAGTTTAAGTGTCTACCTATACATATTCAAAATTGGAGGGCATAGATGACAGCTGAAAATAATTGTTAAAGGGCACATTTGTGTATTATATCTATATTATAATTAGTGCAATTTAACTAGTTGTTTAAAGTTACTTATCTTATTTTTAGGTTATTAATCTATTTAATTAACTATGGATACTTGATCAAGAAATATAATATAAATAATTACTTATAATCACTTTATAAATGATCTCATAGTGTTATTGAAAAAAAAAGTGTTATAAAAGTTATACTCAAGAAAAAAGAACTTGCTTGACTTCTGCCCAAAAGTATTAGATTCTCTAATTAAAATATATTGGAGTTTGTTTGTCTCATATATGTTTTTAAAATATTCTTATTTTTATTCAGTGTGTTTATTTGACTCATCCAACATAAATTTTTCGAAAAATAAGTCATTGGGGTTTTAAAAATGGAGGATGTGAGATGAATTTCTTAAATTTCAACTTTTTTTCAAAAAAAAAAAAAAGCGTAGAGGGAAATAGGGGTTTAAATGAAATTCATTTTGATTTGTAGATCTTCATAGTAACTATTTTGAAAAAGATCGTGCAATGCAATTAAGAAATTTCAGGATTTCAACTTGGAATTGTTAATTTCAAAACATCTCTTTTAAAATGTTCTTAAAACTTTTTTTAAGGAATGTGTCAGGTCAACATAGGTCAAGTAATATAAAACAGAATGAATAATTTTAAAAAATTTCTTTTTACTCTTACTCATGTAAATGTTATTAAACTTTAAAATCTTCATTCCCTTTTGATTTTTTGATATAATCAAATAGTATCACGTAAATTAGATAGAAAAATTAATTCTAATTGAGATAAGTGTAGCAGGAGTCCCGTGACTCATATCGGCTCGAAGACGGAAAATCACAAGGTGAAAACTGAAAAGTCAGGATTTGGGGGTGGGGTGGGGTGGGTGTGGAGGGGGGGAGGATATTGGAAAATTGGGATAAATAGACTTATTTTAATTTTGATTAAGAGTTTCGAGTTTAAGTTTTGTAAATAATTTATTATTAGAAAGCATTATTAGAATTTTAATGGGTCGTATCACTTATGTTACGAATTCAAGTTATTTAGGAATTTAGGACTTCAAGGATATTGAATGAAAAATAAATAATTAAAAAGATTATTTATTGTCAATCTCATTTTTAGTATTTCTTTCGATTCAATTTGTTTATTTCATTTTCATTTTAGTACATTTAAAAAGAATGTTTTTTCGATAACTTTTTAATTTCAACTTTTGATATAACATATTTAAATCATACGATTAAAAAATATTTTTTGATACATCGACACATGTTTCAATATTTTAAAAAAATTATATCATATTAAAATAAGATATAAATTGAGACGGAAGAAGTAGCTAATATATGTCCAAGTTACTCATATAATTGTAAGATTAAGAAGTAAAATATGGGGAAAGACTAGTCAACTTTGGAGTATACATATGGGCATTGATAGACTTAGATATGAATGGAGACTATGGAAAAGTCTTGAGGGTTGAAAAATGTCAAAAGCAACTTTAGCTAAAAGAAAGTTCTGTTTTTTCCTTGTGTGGGTTAGGTTGGGGCCTTTTGTGTGGATAGCCACATGTATTTCTGCGGTGTCGGTCGATATTCTTTAGTTAAATTTTGATTCCGTTATTGAATTTGAGCGATATCATTCAATATTTTTTAGTTAAATTTTAATTCTCCTACTGAATGGGGGAGATAGTTGTGAAACTAGTGTAAACATGAGGAAGATATGAGGCACATTTTCTTATTTTCTACCTCATCTTAATATAAAGTCTTTTTAAATTGTAATTTATTAAGAAATAAGATAGAGGATTCATGGTTTAATTAAACACCAATCCAAATCAATTCTCGATTGATACACTTTTGCTTGCTTCCAGACAACAAAATGGATAAATGTCTATTGTAGTTTGTTTGGTTTTAATTTTAATAATTTAAAAACAGATTTTATTGATTCGATTTTGATTTTAATAAAAAATCATTCAAATCAAAATTTAAACCGTGAACACTCTAACGAGGAGGTAACAATATACTAAATCAAACCAAGTATTACGATACATTTTTGCTCGCTTTGATAATCGAAAGTACAATATAGTAGTAACTTAACACAAGCATTTTATTAATTTCTGTAACATGTCCATTTCTTGTTAAACTTCATGAGCTAATTCTTGCTAGAGTGATGAGAAAATAGGGACACCTGGTAAGCTAGCTCCACCATCGACGATGAAAACATTACCCGTTACATATTCAGAAGAATCATGAATTAAGTATCGAATCAGAGATGTTAAGCCCGGATCTGTCGTTCCAAGATATCTAGTAGGAAGAGTTTTATAAAGAAACTTATGAAACCATTTCTGGTCAACTAAGCTCTCTGTTATCTCTGATTTGAAAACTCCTGGCGATATCGAATTCAATCTGATATTCTCTCCTCCCAATTCAATCGCCATAATCTGTCATTTAAAATGCAATCAATCAATTAATTTATCATAAATAACAATTCACTTGTTCAATTGAACGTACGTACCTTAGTAACCATGTCTAGAGCCATCTTTGAAGTAGCGTAAGCAATAGTCCCTGGTACTGCTACACGATTTAAACCAGCTATTGAAGTGATGTTAATAACAGATCCTCCGCCCTGTTTAGCATCGATCATATGCTTACAAACATATTTCGAAACCATCCATGCCCCTCTTAGATTTGTGTTATATGTATTGTTCCATTCCTCTTCTGTCAATTCCACTGAAGAGCTCACACTTCCTATACAATATGATATTACACAAAAATTAATTCTAGTGACTATAGAGTAGCGTAGAATTTTCTAATTATGTTTCCACTCAACAGGGGCGACTCAATAGAATAGGAGGTCTAAAAGCCAAATTATAATCAGAGGCTTAAAATCAAGTACCTCTAACGCCGGCGTTGTTAACCAAGGCATCGATACGTCCAAAAGCATCCCAAGCTATTTGTACAGCGGACTCAATTGTAGCACCACCAGCAGCAACGTCAAGTTCGATGGCGATTGCTCGAGGGGATCCTTCTGAATTACTGTTAATTTGGTCACAGAGAGATTTCAGTTTGTCAACACGACGAGCAGCAGCAATGATTCTGCAACCGGCTTTGGCTAAATCGAGACAGAACTCTAGCCCGATTCCTGACGATGCTCCGGTCACCATCACTACTTTTCCGGTCAGGTCTTTCCATGGATCCATTTTACAATTAAGTTTAGTTATGTAAAATGAAGTTAGGAATGTAATACTAGTATATATGCAGAGAGTAAATGTAATGAAAGTAAGTTAAAATTTTAGTATATAAATAGTATGGACAGGGGAGGAGTTCAAATGAAGCCAATTCGAAAAATTATATTATTATTTATATATAATTAAAATCTTATTTTTAGATAAATATAATAGATATTAAAAAAAAATTAACTTTTTTTTTTATTTGTTTACTTTTCACTACTTTTCATAATAGTCCACCTAAAAATATTAGGGCCGCCCTTGTTGAAATTCCAGGGGATGTATTGTGGACTAAGAATATGGCCTCATTTGTTGAGATTCCACAATGTGTGGGACCCTGTGTTCATTACTTCTTTATGTTTAAGCACTTTACTTCCCTTTAAACAGATGGGAAAAGGCTAAAAATATCATCAACTTGAGAAAAGATTTATTTATGTTATTCGTTAGAAGTTTGATTATTTATGTCATTTTCATTGAGAAAAGGTTTATTTATGTTGTTATTTGTTAATTAAAATGACATAGATTAGTTAAATTTTAAGCACATTTCACTCATATATTGTGAAATATTAAAGTTATCTTCATTTTAATTGATATATTTAAGTGATTAGAAAACTATTTAATTAAAAATATGTAATTCAATAGTGGAGTGGATATTTTAAGAGAAATCAAAATATGAATAAATATAAGAATCAGTCAAATAAATTCAATGTATAATATATTCATAAATAAAAAATATGTTTATATAATGAAATTTTTTAATGAAAAAATATATAATCATAAAAACAACTAGTAATGAATGTGGTATTAAAAATTATATGAATATACATGTATTTAAAAGTGATGTATAAAAGAGGGTTTAATGGGTTACTTTTGTTGTTGAGTTTGCTTTTAGTTACTGCAACAGTCATTTTTAAAATAATAAGTTACCTAGTTTTAGGATGAATTTGAGTTTTAAATAATTGTTAGGTCGTTTTAACAATTGAGATTATTTAGTCTTTTTGAATTTTTGTTATGCAGATTTCTGTGATTATGTTATCAAGTTGGCTATTTAAAGCCCTCCTATTATGCTTAATAAAATATTGATAGATATTTTCAAAATGCTGTCCCTTTTTTTAAAAAAAATACCAACATTTGTTATTTTACATTTTTATCCTATAATTAGTTATTCGGGGATTAGTATTCAATCCACAAGCAGGGATAACTTATCTCAATCATAATTATTAATGGTGGGATAAGTCATCTCACACTTTACAACCAAACATAGATTTAAGGGGTACTAAAAATTTATCCCATGATTATTTTTCCTTATCCATCACACCAAACGCCCCTTATTGTTCCAAATCAATGACGCACTTGTACTTGTGTCTTCAGTTCTTGGGGGTTGTACATATCATCGTTTATCTTGAAGTTAAGATTCAAATTCTAGACTTACCAATGTTTTACTTTAAATTTCACATTTTCTACTTGGACAAAACGCTATAGTGTTAAGTTGATTTACGATCGATAGGTCTGAAATATGTGTCATCACGATCCCATATTTTAGGTCATGATACGACCAAAAGAGAAAGTTTCCTTTCATTAATTCTCATTTGAATTTATTCCAACGAAAGCTTCAACTGCTTCAATTTCTATACTACATCCTTTTTCATCAAGAGTGAGAGATTCGTCTAAAAACAATAGGGCGAAGGGGAGCCTCAAAGATCTTACATTTTTGGAAAAAGAGAGGTCAAACAAAGTTGTTACAAGGATAGATAATGTTGCGAACACGGCAGGCCAAGCTATTGGGCCTGAGGATAAACCACAAAGAGGCCCAATAATTACACAACTCAATACTAGTTTTGCTTGAGATTTAGGTTGAGTAGAGTTTGAATGGTTGTCATCTCGGTTTTGGAGAATTATGCATATTGTAAAGAAATTGTATGTTCCTCTCATCTTCTTTCTAGAATCTAAACTTCTCATCCCATTCTTATATGTATCCTTAGTTACTTGTTATTTTCATTGTAATTCAAGAGTTTAAGTGTTGCCGTTGTAACTTGTAATTTGACTATCTTATTAAATAACGTTTGAGTATTTGTGTTGAGAATTCGAATTTGTTTCAGATAAAGGAAAGAAAACTTTTACCTTGTGATTGTGTCTCTTGATTGCTATTGTTTTGGATTTGCATCATTTTTTTCCGATGACCTAAGTTGATTTTGTCTGTGATTGTCATTGCTCCGCTTTGTTGGCTTGTTGTTTGTATTTTGTGATTTTCAAAGGAGTAGCTAAATTGTATACGTGTGTATTTGATTTTTTAAAATCGTTATTGTATCTAGGAATCTAGTGATTTTTGAAGTTGTATTTAGAATTTTTTTGGATTGTATCGATTATTTTGCAAAATTGAGAAAGTGTATCCAGTAAAATTAGTGCTATGTTAATCCTTGCATATGAATGTTGTATCTAAAACTGTTTTTGGCTAGTAGTAGTGTATCCAATAAAAATCGAGTAAGTGTATCCAATCAATTAAGTACTTTTGTTAATTCCTCAAAACGAATGTCGTATCTAATAGGGAAACTTTCGCAAATAGCCACTATAATAAGAAGCATAATTAAGTTATTTCAGAAATTAGTTAATCAGCAAAGTGTATCCTCATTTACACTATGGACTCAATTCAATAAAACAAATACAGTATGGACTCAAATACACGCAAATTTCAGTATACTAATTTCTGTATGCTATAATAAACAAATACAGTATGGACTCAATTCAATAAAACAAAGTGTATCCTCATTTACACTATCTTCTGGTAAAAATTTAACTATTTATATAATTCATTATATTTTACTATATAAGAAGAGTGAATAAACATCCTCTCTTTTCCGTCTACACATGGCAAAAAAGAAAAAAAAACAGGGTCGAACTGGACCCCATCAAAAAGCTACAAATGAATAAATTGGCTGAATTAAATGGGGGTATTTTTGGTATTTACTAGCTTTTGCTCCTTAAAACTTTTGTATGTCAATGCTTTATAATTGTACCTTTTCTTCTTTAGACAAAAAAAACCATCCAACATCTCCATAATGACACATATATCCATCAAATCTACTACTCTTTAATTAATTAAAGTGGGCCCCACTACCTTTCTCATGCGGCTGACCAATAGTTGTGTTTTTCTTTATTTTAATTATCATGTGTCACCATTTTTCCTTGATTACATATTTTAAAAATAAAAAATAAAGTAGTATATATAAATAATTAACAATTTAGTATGCTTAAAAATAGTAAAAACTACATAAAAAGTACTACATATTATATTACAATAATTAACAATTCATTGACACTTTAAATTCTATCAATGCTATATAAATGACGATAAAAAAGGCAACATATAATATTTAAATATATTTAAAAATAATATAAGTAATACTATACTTAATATGCTTAAAAATAGTAAAAACTACATAAAAAGTCCTACATATTATATTACAATAATTAACAATTATTTGACACTTAAATTCTATCAATGCCATATAAATTAGGATAAAAAAGGTAACATATAATATTTAAATATATTTTAAAAAAATATAAGTAATACTATACATTACAATAATTAACGGCTTAAATATTTCAAAGTTATATAAAAAATTTAATTGACTCTCTAAATTCTATTGGTACCACATAAAATGGATTATCTGATAAACATATATCATTTGAAATTGACGAAAAAGAAACTATAAATTACAATAATTAAAAAAAAAAAATAGTCGACTCCAAAAAATCTATCAATTAACAACATATATTGTTTGAAATTGACAAAAAAGAAACTATAAATTACAATAATTAACAAAAAAAATTCGCTCGACTCCAACAAATCTATCAATTAATGCCACATAAATTGGGACATGGGAAATAACATATATTATTTCAAAATTAAGTTCAAAATGTACTATAAAATACAATAATTAACAACTTAATATATTAAAGAGACATATAAAAAAGGGTTAATATTTGAAATTCTGCATGTGCCACATAAATTAGAACAAAGAGAGTAATAACTATTATTTTCAAAATTATGTTAAAAAAAAGTACTACAAATCACAATAGCTAACAATTTAAAATATTATTAAAATCATATAAAAATTTCAATAACTTCTCAAATTCCATAATATGACATAAATTAAAATAAATACAAAATATATATTGGGCCCCGTGCTGGCACGGGGTCCTATGTCTAATATATATATATATTTGGCTATTAAAGTAGATAATAACTTAATGCAAAAACATCAAAAACAAAACTTGATTTCAACTGACATTAGTGCGGCTCAAGCTTAAAGCCAAAATCAAATGAAGGCCTTAAACTTTAAAAAATTATTAATAACTGGTATATAATTGATTTATTCTAATGTCTTTCTTTTAATCATAATATAATTAATATATATTCTTTCGAGACATAAACGTACAGTACTTTAAATATATCAAATTGCTTTTAATAATTCTTTCATTTTATATATACAGTTTACAGTTTTTACAAATAGTACTCAATGTTGTTTATTTTATAAAAAATTATAATCTATTGTTAAAAGGCAAAAAAGGTTCAAATATACCATCAAACTTTGAGAAAAGGCTCATCTATGTCATCCATTAAAAGTTTTGTTCATTTATGTCATTTCGTTTGAGAAAGAGTTCATCCATGCCATTATTTGTTTACTAAAATGGCATAGATGAGCAAGACTTTTAACGAATGACATAGATGCAACTTTTCTCAAAGTTCAATGGCGTATTGAGCTTTTTCCCTTTAAAAAAAATGATTCAATTAATGGTGTGACCGAGACCACATGTAAAAAATGGTTTTGCAAACCCAAAACTGTTTTCAGTTAACAAATAATGGCATGGATGAGTTTTTTCTCAAATGAAATAGGCATGGATGAGCCAAACTTGTTAAGGGATGACATAAATGAGTTTTTTCTCAAAGTTTATGGCATATTTGAGTCCTTTCCTGTTAAAAAATGGGACCC